GAAAGATGAAATCATGAAATTTGCAGGTAAATGGGTGGAACTAGAAACTGTTATACTAAGTGAAGTAACACAGACTCAGAAAAAAAAATCAACATATGTTCTCCCTCATATGTGGATTCTAGAACCAGACTCTGATAAATAAGTATGCAACCAGCCATAACTACAGGAACCAGGATAATGGAAAGGAAACAGGGAGGTAAAGGAAAAGAAAGGACCTGAAAGAGAAGAACAGTAGGAAACAGGCCTTAATAAGAGAGATATGGATAAAAATGGGTTAGTTTAAGGGAGTGGGGAGGGAAGAACCTAGGGGATAAAGGGAAAGAAGGAGCTCAAGAAAGGTAGGACCACAGGAGAAGGGTGTTAGTAAGGGAGAAAGGGGGGAAATGGGGGCACCTTAAGTGGGTTTTTTTTTACCAGACTAGTGGAACTAACCTTCTTGGATATTTAGCAGACATACTTTGAGGCCTATAATAATTTGGTCAGAGGGACATAAAGGGCAGTTCATGCTCCTAGCCCTCCTAGGTTGACTAGTTCCAGGGGACTATGAGCATATCTCAAAATGTCCTGTAATTGTGGTGGGTCACCTGTCCTCTTGATCAAGGAGGCCAAGGAGTCCCCACGAGATGGACTTGAACCAATGTCCAGTCTACAAAGAGGAGGGTCCACACAGATGAATCATTTCCTCCATGCTTCCAAGCGAAGCCAACGATGGTCGAGCAGGACCTTTGACTTATCTTCACATAGGCAGAACTGGTAAAAGAAAGGAGCCAGGGCCCCCCCCCAAGCCTACGTGACCCCTGAGGAACATATCCTCAAACGACCTTAAGAGTAAAAATAAACTGGTTTATCTGGACCAACTCTACGGCCTTAAACACCCAGAAGGAAAGTATAACCAAAGATTAAAAGGGTCAATATAATTTATTGAGGGTCCATATGCATAGCTAAAGGATACATAACAAGCAACAATGCCAGACAGGCAATACCTTCTTTTGAGTTGTTGGCCACGGTGGCCAAAGGGACTCCCAGATAGTAACCCAGCATAGAACTGGGAAAATGAACAGCAAACCCCAATCTTATCTAAAGGAATATTGACAACTGATTACTGCTAGATGAGGAACAGCTGACCTTCCTAAAACAAAGACCTCTAGATAGGCTGACTAGATTTGCCAGAAGGGCAACTAGTGGGAAATGGCTGGGGTGCTGACAACACAGCAGACGGTAGCAGGGATGTCAGAGTATAAGGGCTCTAGTGGGGGGAGGGAGGCTATGGGAGGGTGCCATCTGGGAAGTGGGTGTATAGTCAAATGAGATGGTTTGGGGTGTTCTGTGTGATATACACACACAAAAAAAAATCAATTTTTTTAAATGTATTATATTTGAAGAGGAAGCATGGAAATTCACATCATACTAATTAGTAGAGGTGATCAACACTACCATTGAAATCTGCCTGATGACTTTATAGACATACACAGGCACCAAGGATCCAAGTACAACCAATTATGACTAGTAATAATCAGATACATACAGATTAGAGATGCAAGCGCCAACATCTCAGTGTTAGTAGCAAAAACAATGAGTCTTTCTGCAAGGAACAATATATTCTAAAATGAAATGGAGATCTTTTTTAAAGGTTAATAACTCATCCAATTTTATGTCTTACAGGGCTTATACTGAGTTCAATAATAGTTATATATTATTG